TTCATTTCTTTTTACAAACGGTTTTTTGCATTTGTAAAGACTCGTACATGGGACATAGCACTTTCCTTCATTTTTACTGAACGGCTTCCCCAACGTCAAAAAAGGGACAAGAGGTTGGTTCACGGTTCAGTTCCGTCCGTAGCGACAGAGTTTTGCAGTTGACGCTACATGATGTCGCAAATCGTACCCGCGGTAGTAAAGGATGTCACATTACCATCGGAACCACCAGTACCCCACATGAGTGGGTTTTTACCGGAAACTGGAGCCAAAGGGTGTAACACTAGAACTTTTTTGAAACCCTTTTCGGGTATGGAGATACCCACTTAGGAATAATGAACCATGGTTTTGCGTCCCAAGCATGTGCAACAAAATCATGCAAAAGATTGCTTTACATGGGCGGGGCACGATCTAAAAGGGTGATCCTGGTAGCGCTGATGCGTCTTGCGTCCTTTCCTCGGCCTCACCATCGTAAAACACAAGCATGCATTCGGATCCCTTCTACAATTTTGCATGGATGTGGGGGACATGGCGCAGCCGAAATTGGTTAATCAACGCCGATCATAATTTTTATTTTGAGAATATTTTCAGCAGCTGGATCGACGAAAATGAGGCATGAAGCCAGCTCCCAAGACTAGAATAAGCACTCGTCATGAGCAGTGAATGCGCCTCTCCCGTCTCCGCCCTACGACCTTGCTCTTGCGCGCAGGGTTTCTTTGCTGTGAGTACAATGCCAAAACTTATTTCCAGGAGGAACGGCCCTGTGCGAGGCGTTTTTGGTAGTTTCCTCTTGTTCGCCAGATCAGCAACAACCACAGTCACTATTAATGCTCATTTTTTGAACCCTATTACCCACCTCTATAATGTTGGAATGAACCTTCACCACAAAACGCGATACTGCCAGAAAAGGTTAGTGGGTTTAAATTTGAAGGAAGCTACAAGTAACTCGACAGTGAAGAAAAATCGAAGGAATGCCAAACGCGGACCGAATAAGGCGACTTTTTGCAGCTGCTTCCTAGGGTAGGAGAGTGCAGACGTCGGAGGCAAGACAGCACGGAGACGAGTGAAATTCAGGTACAGACTTCTGCAACACCAAGGTAATCCCTCACTACAGGCAATGCCTGTGAGCAAGGTGAATAGCGGTCGAGGAATTCCTCGATCATGGCTCTCTGCTATGGCGCAGGTAATGTCGAGATGACTGTACGCGCGGCGAGCAACAGGCGGCTCGCGCGGCGACGAGTGAATTGCGCGCACAGGGTCAACCGTCAGCCGTTGGACCGAGTGTTGAAAAAATGTTTACGCCTCGCCCTCCCTTCTAGAGGGCCTCGATCCGACCTCTTCCCTCAGGGTTCAACTGGCCTTCACCTCAGGGTACAATCCTTCAACACGCCTCACCTGCCAGATCGCCATCATGCGGCTCATTCTATAAATATCTCGATTCTGTACACCAGTGGAGCCCAGCAATCGCCGTTCTAGCGCGGGGGGGGTTATATACCTACCACGAAACCGCAAACATCCCTCTCACATTCCCTCTCCTTCACCCATATATTCCATTGTAACATTTTTTAGGGGAGGGCATATACACCCTGTTAAACGTGAAACGGCAAAATTTTAGCGCGCCAACCAACTGCATCATCACTTCCCTTACTGTAACATTAACGCTACCTCGCGAAATACGACGACCCCCTTTTTCCACCCCAAATACGACCCCCCCCCACCCCTCGTTGGACTTTGTCCAACGGACGGTTGACCCCTGTGCGCGCCACCTGGAGAGCGCGGATACTCGAACAGCGAAAATTCCTCGACGAACGTTGCCGTTTCCTCGACCGATTTCCTGCCTGCGAGTGCATGACGAGGCTCAACATTTTGTATTCAGGTTTATAAAAATGCTTCTGATTCCTTTTTTAAGTGCACATTTATACTGGAAATCATAACACATTCTAACAAGTGAAATGTCATAAGAGAATTTGATAAACCTCACAGTGCAATGAAAACATTATATCCGTAAAAAGAGATATGAAAGGTGAAGGGCTGTGTTTGTTTTTATAATGGATATTTCATGACATCAAAGCTTTGCCGTATTCACGAACAACTACGAGATCAATATCAAACGATATAGCAAGAGTGATGTGAGCCTTTTGAAGTGAAATCAAGGATAAATTCAAATTCAAAGTATTGCACATTCCGGCAAGAAAAAAAAAGGATACCGAGCTGCCACTTGCAGTTCGAGCTAAGTTTTCCAACTTTCATAACTTAACAAGCCCACTAGTGCGTGCGGCATCGGTCGTCGACTATTGAGCCTTTTCCAACTGGTAACAGAATGACAAAGGGAAGGGCGCACTACAGGATAGCAACGGTCCCAGATCTTCCCCCCTACGCTTAGCATGGAACTGCTTTTGGGGGTGAGGTATCGCCTTCACGTACCAATTTTTCAAGGAAACCCAAAACACACTGTCAATCACAAATACTGAGCTGTGAGTTAACAAGAAATAAATAACTTTGCGCTACCCTTAGGTCAAAGCAGGCCAATAAAGTGAGCTCCTTCGGGATCCACCCAAATGAGATGCTGTTGAACAGCAACAGTACGAATGCTCAATTACAAATATGGAATACAAGATAGCTTATTTTCAACCCGATTTGTTCCGCGTGGCAGCGGCTTACCCTAATGAGCCTGCGTTGTAGTATATTCGAGAAATCGTCGTGCGTATAACACGTCTCGTAAACTGGTCGAAATTCAAGCAAATTGGTCCCATCAAATTCCGCAGAACTCGCTGCAAAAACACAATTCCTCACTTCGAAGCTTTGATAAATTCCATAAAGAACTGGCCGTGAACTCACATTTCGCCGCTTCTTCGGTATAGCTTTCTTGCACTTTCGTTTATTTATCAACTGCATAGCCAGGTAATGCATCCAAAAGCAATTTGACTTGGGATTGAATGCCATCCAATCACCTCTGTGAAAGTCATAATGTAAACAGAAGTGACACTCATAATGATAACAGAAGCCTGGTTATCCAAGAGTGTCAACCTTGGAATTACGATAAAACAAAAATAAAAGGAGCAAACTGCATCAAAAAGATTGCCTAAAAAGAGGGTTGGGTAACTCAATCAGATTCCCAAAGCTGTTTTGAGGGAAATCTTGTTAGCATGACGGGAATTCCGAATCTGAATGCGGTCATAACAAAAAGGTGTGGGCTGCGTCTTCGGTCCTACGCATCGCGAAGTATCTCGTGAACCTTGTCGCGAACTGGGGTACCCGACAGGAGGCCCGTCGCGCGGCAAGAAGGCAGAGTCAGCGGACGAGTCGCAGCGCGTGATGTGCGATGTAGGACGTACAATGGTACATTCTATTTAACTTGACGCGAAATCACTACAGTACGCGCGCGACTCGTCCGCTGACTCTGCCTTCTTGCCGCGCGACGGGCCTCCTGTCGGATACCCGCGAGCTGCAACGACAGCTTAGAAAGAACCAGCGAATCAATTCAGGTCCCCTCGATCAGATTCTATAGCTCTGTCGCACTAGAGTTTATTGCCTGATTCAAGGTACCAAAATCAAATTAGTTGAAAATACTTGATGGCCTTAAAACTATTCAGCAAATACTCGTACTAGTAATAACCCTTAGAATATCTGAATGAATGCCATATTTCGCAACATTCTACTAACGCTACTCGTAATGAATGTAAATAAAGACTTTCAAACAACGTACTCATTTGATTTCCTCATCATTCTGTATATATCAAACTGATAATCGCCATCACCAGTGAACAGCTCCTCATCATTTTCAAGGTCCCGGAATATTGTGGTCCCTTCTGGAAAGACAGATTTTTCTAAGCTCAAAACCTAAAAGTTTTCCTACACTGACGAACTCTTCTTTATCACTCTTCTGCAGTTTCAACTGCAGCACAAATTGCAAACCATAGTTGGGCCTCGTTTTGTAGAGCTCAGACTGTAACAACTTGTTTTCTCAATACCCCCACCATTTTCAATTCAAATTTTCATCAGCTTCTTATTCATTATTTTCTCATCTAGCTACCTCTCCTTTTTTATCTTTTGCTTTAAAGATTATAATAAACAATTTCCGCCAATAACAACCATTCAGCGATCGTTTGGATCAAATCTCATGAAGTGGCGGAGAAAAGGACAGGGAGGGTAAAAAAAAACCTCCTTCTGACTCGAAATCCTATTTACCGCTAGAGAACCGAAAGTGGCGAGTTCAACCGCTCTGCGGTTCAACATGATGACCGTTGTCATAAAGAAATCACAATAAACATGAATATGAGGGAGCGAACCTTTACTCATACGACTGAGCGTGAAATCGATAAGATGGACCTTCAGGCCTTGTGAGCGCAGAATCATATCACCTCCACCAAACCGGTATCTGAAGGATAGAATATTATCATTAACAGGATAAGTAGGAGCTCTTCACAACGTAAATGGATCTATATATAGAGAGTCGTATGGTCGTTATGCTTTGTTAAGTTCAAAGTACGCAGCAACAGCTTCAAGTAATCATACTTCATATCTTCTCCGCTTTCCAACACGAGAGCATTTCCAATGTGCAGGTCTCGATGTTCGAATTTGAGGCGTTCTTCGGCAACAACAAGTGAGATGGCGATTTGCAGCAGTACCGACATCACCTGGTCCTCATTCTTCATCTGGAAAAAGGCCTCGCGATTACCCAAAATTTCAAAATTATCTGTAATCTGTTCAAAACCTGATAGTGCTCCAGATCGACGCCTCCCATAGCCATACCCATTACTATGAATAATTGTTGTTTACTGGCATAACTGGTGGGAGGGTCATTCTCCGATCCATTCACTTCATCAAACTCATTCCAAGCAGCCATAAATTCTTCAGGATAAAGTCCTGCAACAACAAATTTGTGTCTAACATTTTTCTGAAGGATATAGTTTTATCGTTATACCCTAGGAAAAGGGGAAATATTACCTCTGACCACATGAGTATTGAGCAATTCAATGAAATTCGGAGTACTAAATTCAGCAGATGGATCGAAAAGAGCAGAAAGCTCACGGTTGATGAGGATCTTAAATAGATAAACGTGGACAGAAAAGAGAAAGTTGCCTAATTAATCAGTTCAATGTGAAAGCAGTTGATTTTTTAGTGCGAGTATGCGAGGTGCATTGACTGGATTGACAACGCCCCTGCCAGAACACTTTACAAGCCTTCAATTATAGAGTGGGCTCTTGTCTTTATTGTTTTACGCTTAAGTTTGTTCTCTATAAAGCATGTCACCTTCAACAAACGTAATGGTAAGGATATTTGAATTGGGTGGCAGTACCTAGCTATAGATTGAGGTTTTCTTACTGAGGTGATTTAGTCTATAGTGCTATTACATGCTATTAATATGTCTTCTAATGAATAAACAATAAATAAACTATGTGAATTCATGAGTGTTTTCTCGCGAAGACTGTTAAGATTAATAACTAAGTAGAGCTAACTAGCTAGCGAAACCTTCCCTGCTGACTGGTTTCTTTTCTTTAATTAATTCGAAATATTCGAACGGCCCCTACTGTTTGCATCTTTGTCTTCGTTGAAGATAAGAATAAATCTTCAATGGCACGATGTGGCATGACGGACTAAGGAGGCTGGCACCGTTGCTACGTTGAAGAAACGGTGCCAGCCTCCTCAGTCCGTCATAACATCTTGATGCAGGCCCATACGTCACACTCCGATAAACAAAGAGGATCGTCGTCAGGGAAGGATGATTCTCTCAGCGACTTAGTAGCACAACTGAACTAAATCAATAATTTCCATGTTTTTTCCGCAGCACCTTGGAGAATTATTATTATTTCCGATTTTTCTGGCTCTGACGAAGGCGAGAGTCCGAAAATGAAGCGTAATAAAAAAAGTACTGTAACACTGTATTGGACAAGCTAGAACAAAACTGTGCACACCAACTTTCATGCCAAAATTAAGAGAAAGTCATTCTTGATTATTATCGAATTTTAATGTAACGTTTAGGTTCCACACGCGTTTTTCTTAACGCAAAGCAAAAAGATGCGTTTATAATATTTGTGGACATTATATTACAACCGACTTTTGACCAATGAAGAGGTCGACCTCTTGTCATGTTGCCGCTCTGATAAAACCGGCCGCACACAAGTGTAGATGACACTGCAAACAGTGTAAAGCTAAAACACACCTCTCCGGAAGTATGCTAGCCGCATCGAGTAAATATTCACCATTAACTTTCTCTTTGTAGACTACTTTATCGCCATGGAATGGTATGACCTAAAACAGTTATTTGTAGACTACTTTATCGCCATGGAATGGTATGACCTAAAACAGTTACGTAATAATAATGAAACAATGGGACACGGCTTCTGTCACGTACTATAAAGAGGCCTATTAGACCGATGTCAGACTTTGCAAATCGAACGATTCGCTAGCGCCCGCGGTCGCGTCACGGCCAGTGAATCGCTCGATTCGCAAAGTCTGACAACGGCCTAAAAGGGATTATTAATGCCCACATCCACTGTTTATAGGAGATACCACACTATTTACAACTACAGCAAGAGGAGGCAAATGCAGGTTAGCGAATACGCTTCAACATCACACTCCTTCATTGATTAATCCGAGCAATCTCGAACAAGGAAGTTGGGCTTACGCAGAAATAATGATAATTTCGCGACTTCAAACGTCACACAAGGGCGTCCCAGAGCGCCAGCATTACATGCATCCACACCCACCTCACGCATCTATCTACGCCCACTGTCGCGATACAATGGTGACTCCGTCGTGTTCTTCCCCCGTGCTCTAATTTTCAGAGTCTGATCCCTGCCTTCGTATCATTTCTTTTCCTGAGGGTTTCTCTCGTAAATCCGCTTGATGCTCACAGAAGACAGGTCCTCGCCAGCGTTCCGGCGCTTTTTTCTTCTCCTTCTTTCTCAATTCTGAAGCATTAGCGCTACAAAAACAACCCTCACCTTTAGAGCAGTAGGCTTTCCTTTGTACTTTGTGGCAAACACTTCACCGTATACACCTTCACCGAGCTTACGTGGTTCAGAGAACACACTATAAAGAGAACTATGAGCATAATGAACCAAGAGCTTTTTTTCTGCAAATAAACATACTCTTTCGGAAGCCCTCTCCAGCCAATAATTTCAGGCTGATTGATAACAAACAGAAGCTGCGATAATGGAGTGCTTGTATTGAAATCAGCAAAGCCGCGCAAGTAGTAGGGTATGTCAACCTGGAATTTACTTGCTTAGGATTCAATAACCACAGCATATAAACTAAACACTCACGAATGATGTGTTTTTCAAATACGATATGTTCCTGTACGTAGTGTTAATCGTCATGGAAGTGGCGTTGCGTCCAGCATTCTGAAATGAACGCATTCGAATGATTTCTCGAAGATATTATTGGCGAGCTACACTGTATAAGAAGGCTCTCATCGTAGGAGTATCAAAGAGGGAGCACCAACTTCAAAT